TGCAATTTTAGTATTTACTTTAAGTCCTGATGTTTTACCCGTGTATACATAAAGTTAAATAAATAAATAAATGATTGGGTCATGTAACTGTCCGATTATAGGTATCCGATTACAGGCTACTGTCTGATTGCACTGTCGGATTACGACGCTGCAGACTAATTAGTATAAAATACAGCAGTTTATGGAGCAATCACACTTGATGAAATGTCATTGTTGATACCGAACAACAAAAACAACTACCTTTAATTACATGACCATAAATACATACAGTGTTGCAAGACTTTTGGAACCTAAAACTAAACCAGTGAAACAGTAATGACTATCATCAACACATGAAGCAAAAGTAATAGATATCTTTATGTATATTGTAATAGACATGGACGAGTGCTCTTCCAACTCTCACAACTGTGACGTGAATGCTGTCTGTAGTAACACTCATGGATCTCACACTTGCACATGTAAAGCTGGATATTCTGGAGATGGCAAAACTTGCATTGGTACGTTTGTCTGTGGCAAAGTAGTGGCAGTTTTTGTTCTAAGCTTAACTAATTATACATTGGAACCTCTCTAGAACGAGCCACCTTGAAAACACAGGAAATTGGCCGTTGTAGAGAAGTGGCCGTTATGGGGAGGTAGGGGTTTAATATGGCAACTGTTCTTTTCGAGGGTACAACACTTTTAAATTGATATAAATGATAATTTTAGCCTACAAATACGTAACACAATCAAAGTATATCAATAAAACAAAAACTAAAAGAGAAACGGAGATCAACGACACGTAGTACGGGTAAAGTTTGGTGACCTTTTTCACTATAAAGTGTACGCTGCTGTTTAGTGATTGATTAATTGGCCATTGTCGAGAGGTTACTTTGGCAGTTGGGACGAGTTTTAGTCGCAGTTGCCGTTGTGGAGAGGAGAGGTGGCCGTTGTAGAGGGGATAAAATTATCCGGTCGTTGTAGAGAGGTAGCTGTTAGTGGAGGTTCGACTCTATAACTAAGTCATCGTAATTAAGGACGTTCGCGCTAGGCTTTCATTTCCTTAAAAACGTGTTCTATTTTTACCCTTCTCTTAGACA